CCAAATCGTAAACAAGGGTTACGGGACCAAATCGTAAACAATGGTCATGGGGCCAAATCTTTGTCTATACAAATTCCCAAATATTGTAACAAAATACGTGTAATTTGTAGCCTCGACATTTGGCCCGTCAGAGCACGCATACACTGTATACAATCATGCAGCCTACATGTACATATATTTGACATAATTCCCTTAATTACATGTCTACATACATGTACAAAGGGCATGTAAAGAACGGTCCATTTCCACCTCAAATGTGTATACATGTGTATTGCAATGAGAGTGCGGTATGTACATGTACATGCTTGTAAATGTTATACCACATACAAAGTGAACTTGTATCACGCCACATACAGGTACATTGTACGTGTACACACATTCTCCCACCGTAGTTGAGGGGCCAAGACTCGACATTTCACCAATTTTGTGGGGACCCTGAATATGATGGAAACAAAGAATATATCCCCACAACTTGGTCTGAATTTGCAATAGAACTTGTGTGAATGCCTACCCAAACATATATTGCCGACTGTATTAATGCATGTATACATGTACATGAGCAGGCATTCATTCTGTATAAGGAATGGATTTAGTCTCTTGTTTGGCAAACTAGGACAATGGAGGAAGGTGTGTTCCTTCCTCCATGTTTGGACTAAGTTATGGGGCCATTTCTCTATTTCCACATTTTGGTACCCAGAAATTGGTGTGATGACAAGTGCTTATCCCCACGACTAAAGAAACGGTGCATGCTGGTACATGGACAGTGTACCACTACACTGTACTTGTATGTAAACTTACCAAACAAATGGAAATGGTGAAATGGACAGAGCAACCTGAATTCCCCCCCCCCAAGAAAATTACAAAATCTTTGTCATTTATTAACCATAGAATTCAACTTCAACCCTAACCCCCTAGGATGTGTGTAAATCACCGTGAACTTGGAGGATTGAGGATTTTTAATGATGACCTGCATTACACGTACCTTAATGCCAAGCTTAAGTTTCAGTAAATAGAAGGCTACCAGTACTGTAAAGATTTTCTTAATGTACTTAAAGCACTTGACTTTTGAAAAGCTGGGAAACTGATAATACCTGTATGCTACCAGTAGCACCTGAGCAAAAGAAACATACATGTAGCCATGATGCTACCACAAATCTACCGGTATCTAGTTGAATTGTATCGTAGGTAAAGCAATTAACAGGTGCCAGCATTAATGGTGCCTTGATTAAAGTCAAGAATGCAAGGTACATGTACTTGTATTGAGATCCTATGGAGAAACACAACCGATTAGAGATGGCAAATTAAACAAGGTTTGCAAAGAAAACAACAAAAATAATTAAGGTCTTGGAACTGAGGCTATACATGTATGTAGTTTTGCAAATACAACATGGGATACGGCGTACCAGTACATACACTATCCTTGCACATCACTGTTCGTGCTTGTACCAATGTAAGTGGAAACAGTCCCATAATGTATTTCAAGGACATGGTACATGAACAGTTCCGGTATATGATGTGATAGGCCTACATGTCCATGTACATATTCAATATTTGCTGAAGCATAGAAAATGTGCAATAGGCAAAGCTGAAGCGTTCTTACCGGTATGTGGACATGTATGGACCCTCTCTGTCAGGGGGGATGCACACTTTGAAAAATTTTGGGTAATTTAATCTACACGTGTACACTGTACTAGTATCCCAGATAAGAATAGGCATATATGTACATGTATCGTACCCCTACATGTATAGGTTCTTGAAGCCTTGCTTTCTCCATGTACACATGTACATGTATATGTGCAGCTAAAGCAGTGGGAATAATGCATTTCAATCCTTCTACGGGTAGGTCTTGTCAAAGTTAACAGGACTTTGTCCTTTCAGAAAAGCTGTAACCATTCCAGACTCAAATTCCAGGCAAGATATACTGTCAATTGCCACATCAGCTGTTTGCTGTAGAGTCGAAGGCCTGTGACAGGCATTCATCTGTGACTATCAATGGTTCACAAAGCATGCATTCTGTTTGACTTACTAAAGTCAGTAATCAAAACAGAGAGTGTATTTTGCCAGGAAACAGTAGCAAATAAATACAGCTGGCATTGAACGGATACCCCGGTACAGGTACATGTATGTATAACTGAATGATTGAGCACAAAGCCAAAATTGTTCATGTTGACAGTGTGTGATTCCCCATGCCAGATGCACAGGTTCAAGTCTATGATCAACTTTCTTTCCAACCCCAGAAAGTTATATTCTGTGGTGTTTCAAATAATCAAATCAAATCTTATGAGTCCATTAAATTTCAGAATATTTTTACTTTATTTTCAGGATTCATGGCTCAGTATGGAGGGGGGGATGTCTCTAATTTGGTTTCCAACGAGACCAATTGACATTTTGATGGGGCATAGTCATTTGAGATTTAGAAGTACCCGGTACTTGTACAACTGACAGGCTTGACTGACAAACTTTCCAGAACATCCTGCATGTTTCTCACAGCTTCTGTAGTGCTGTTCCACTGTCTCTTTGCATTATGAGAATTTTGTTCCATGCAATAATAAATTCAGAGAGGACTTGAATTGTCTCCTCCTCTTTCAGCATATTCTTCCATCTTCCCAATGATTTATCATCTCCTACCAAGGGCAGATGGGAGAGCCAACTGCTTTTGGTTTGATAACTTTGGGGGGTCTGTTTCATTTCCCTTCCTTCAACAGGTGTGCAAAAGCCCCAACAACCCTACGAGAGGCAACAAATAGTCAAATGCCCCCCAAATTATGCCCCCCTCCCCAAGAAAATTTACAAGTATGTACCCCTAGTAATTCTAGATCTGCCCTTGACCCCAACTTTTGGTTCAAATCATGTACAGTCGACTCTCATTCATACGAAGGCCTTGGGACTTACTAAATTAGCTCGTATTATCCGGACCTCTTCTTACATATACCAGTATGTGAAAACTGCCGTCCTGCTCGATGTATGTACATGTATCACTAATTGACCGTACATAAAACGTACATGTCTACAAGTATGCATAACTTTTTGTTTAAAGGCACATACATGTAATACCATTTTGTTACATGAATTTGATTTTTAAAAGTTTGTTTATGAAAGTGAGATACAGTTTAATGAATAAAGAATAATTATAAATGTAAGAATGGAGGAAGCAGAATTTCCACCAGCCATGTCGATTCAGAGCGACATGTCCCAGGCCCCGCACACCGTGATGAGATCCGCATACACACACGTAACATAAGTACATTAACATTTTAGTTAGTAATCAACACCAGAGCTGTGCTTGTTGCACAAGAAAATGTGAGGAAACCAGCTATTGGTGGTGTGGACAGCAGAGGGCGAATATTGGATTTTACTTGGGAAAGGTGTGTGGGTTTGGTGAAAAATTATTAGCAAGGGATACATTTTTTTCTTCCAAACTTGTGGTTATTTTCTTTAACATTTTTGGACTGAAAAAAAAAATTTTGTAATGTTTTTCTTAAATTGAAAATTTATAGAAATGTCAAAATATGAAGGGGTGATATTTTCATGTTACGGTGGGAACTGGGGAGAGGGTAATGACGTTTAG